TGATAATGATTGGAGACTTGAAAGAGGTCGTTTTCTAATATTGTTTTTATTAGAAACCTCTAATTTATCATCTAAATTTCTGCTATTAGCAGATTTCATATACCATTCAGATGTCTCTATTTTATCTTTAAAGATACCTATGCCATTTCGATAACAATTTCCAACATTTAATTGCCCGTCTGAATTTCCACCACTAGCAGATTTTAAGTACCACTTAAATGCTCTCTTTTCATCTTTAGGAATGCCTATACTATCTCGATAACAATCTCCAATATTTAATTGTCTATTCAAATTTCTGCCACTGGCAGATCTCAAGTATCATTCAAATGCTTTTTTTTTTTCTTTAGGATTGTCTATGCCATTTTGGTAACAATTTCCAATATTTAATTGCCCATTTGAATTTCTACTACTGGCAGATTTCAAGTACTATTCAAATGCTTTCTTCTCATCTTTAGGAATGCCTACACCATTTTGGTAACAATTTCCAACAATTAATTGCCCATCTGAATTTCTACTACTGGCAGATTTCAAGTACCATTCGAATACTTTTTTTTCATCTTTAGGGATACTGATACTATTTTGATAGCAATTCCCAATACTTAATTGTCTATGGGAATTTTTATCTCTAGCAGATTCTAAGTACCATTCAAATGCCTTCTTTTCGTCTTTGTGAATGCCTATGTTACTTTGATAACAATTATCAATATTGGGTTGTTCATTAGAATTTACTTCTTCAATATGCTTTTCATAAAAATCATAAGTTAAGTTTGATCCATATTTCCATCTTTTATATGGGCTTGAAAGGTTTCTGTCAAATACTACAAGCTCACTATAATGCTTGTGACATAGCTGATCATCTAATTTAAGTATAATCTTTAACTTTGAAGCAGCTTGGCCTTGCATAACTTTTGGCAAAAGCTTCTGTGTCAGTTTGCGAAACTTTTCTGTTAGGTCATCTTTGCCACAAATTGCACATGGTCCTGTATTCTTACGCTGTGAACCCTTCGGCATTGTTACTAGTGAAAGTTATGCCCATTCGAGGATCTTGAAAAACTATTTTGGGATCTTTGAATTTAGGATCTTGTTAAATATAAATATAAGATTTTTAACTCATAATATTAAAAAACAAAACCTGGGGCTTCGTAAAAAGAAATAGCACTTTTACTATTATGACTATTGTACTAAATATATCAACCAATAAATGTGAATTTAGTGTAAGACAAATTCACAATAATTATAATTTTTATTTATCTGATTGGTAGATCTTATTCGTAAATATCACCAAAATCACAAAATCTGCCTATATGGCCAAATAGCCAATCATTGTTACCAGTTTCACAATTAATAATAAATTAATCTTATGTGGTATGTCTCTTCTTTCCACATGCTTGGCTGACGAAGCATCACCTGTATCTTCAGCTTTTTTCTTCTTTGACGTGGCTGGAGAGGTGATGTTAGCTTCTTGCCTTCTTTTCATTGCTGGTACACAATTTGTCACCTCTTCCAGCACATTTTTAACTTTCAACATTTTATCAACCTTTCTAATATCGAGCTTTTTAAAAAAAACTTATATGAGAAATACAATATCTCAAATAGTAAAATTAAGTCAAAATGGTTAGGCATGACATATTTGCAACTTTTTTGTGTATAAAGAAAGACTCATAATAGCCCTTGTATGGTCTCTATAGGCTACAGAAACTGTAGACTATGAAACTGTAGATCTTTATAAAGCACCTCACAGGGATGCATTGCCTCACCTTCCTGCAGAACAAATCCAGTCCAGAAAGCGAAGTGCCTAGCAAAAAATTAACTTGACAACTTACAGAGGATACAAAACCCACCCTCATCATGTGAGGGTGAAAGATACCGTATTTTGTGTATAAAGGAAGATACATAACAGTCCTTATACGAAAACTATAGACTACAGAAACCAGTGTTTGGTTATGACCTTGGTCATAATCCATCACTGACAGAAACTGTAGACAACAGAACTGTAAACCTTTATACTTAATTATCTGGAAAACTCTTATGATCATGAATTGCCATCTGTCTTGTTATTTTTTTCATGTGTTATGATGTAATCATATTTATTCAAATTAAAACTCAGTTGATGACTCCCTACCAATCATGATCATAAACTGCTGGATAATACCAATATTGGATAATTTGTCGAATATGATAATTTGCCCTGGTTTGCCAACTTACCGTCATTCGACAAATTTTGTCTAATATTGTATACTTCAGCATCTCACAGGGATGTATTGCCTCAACTTCCCAAGGAACGAATCTAGTTCAGAGAGCGAAGTGCCTGAAAAAATCACCTTGACCACTTGCAGAGGATACAGAGCCCACCCTCTTCGCAAGAGGCGCAAGATACCATCAAATTGACCATATTTCTGCAACATAGAACAGAATCCCTGGGCATAATCTCAATAGCCAATAAAATATAACCGAACGAGTTTGATAAAAGGCCATAAACCCATTTTTCCTTATTCAGGAGATCTACGTCAATTAACCAATCAATTGTAAACTTTTATGAAGAGGAAAAAAAATAAAAAATAAAAAATAACACTTATCTTGGGATACTAGTAAAAAATGTTGAAAGGGCAGTTTTGCTATAAAGATAGTTTTAATTTAGTTCAATTATAGATGAGTGACAAAATTATTTTCACAATAAAGAAATTGGCGAAATTATATTACTAGTCTTAACTGATTCTTATCCTAATTTTAATTACTTTGCTTTGATATACTGAAGTTTGAAAGAGGCCGTAAAATTGGTCTTGAAAATTGTCTATCCTCGACCTTTACCTAACCTGAATATCGGTTCTATATGCTGAACTATAATTAAAGCAGAAGTAAACTTACCTTCTTGGTACTTAAAAGTTCTCTGGCCTTATTGTAGGCTTCTGGTGACTCTGGATCGTTTAGAACTGTCTTCAGTTCCTCGTAAAAGGACTCATAGATTTGGTCCTTTGTAATATCACTTCCATTACAGATCATGGAAGAAAAGAAACTATCCAAGGACCAGAAAATGCTTGGCAGTTCAAAATATCTAGCAATAATATTGGCGATGGATTTGTTTGTTGGCATTGTTGCGAAACTAATATACGCGAAATACGAAAAATGTACAACAAAAACAAAAAAAA